TCTTTCTCTAATAATTTAATAAACGTCAAAGCTTCCGCGTTTCGCGGAGGAGGGAGGGGGAAACTCGCCCCTCCCTGCACCGACCCCCCCCCCCCCGCATTATGTCACTGTTGGTCACCATTACGTACCAATATTTGGCTCGCAAAATTTCAAATTTGGGCCCCCCCCCCCCCCTAAGAAATCCTGGATCCGCGCCTGGACCTAGTTGTCATAAATAACCATTGGTTATACAGTCAAGCTATTTACAACGTTGACTCGGACTCCTTATTTTAAATAATATATTACACAATGCATGGTAAGTTTTCTTTTTGTTGTTTTCAGCTATTGAGACCTGAATGGATTATGACAATAAAAGAGCGAATAAACGCAATCACACATTTTCAAAAATTTAGGAAAATCCGTTGTGCCTGCTTGTGGATAACAAGGTGCTTTCAGCAGTCAGTTGGTAATAATGCTATAGCAATTTCCATTTGCAATAAACATGTATAACTAGACTTTGTCAATTATGTAATCAATTATGCATCAAGTGAGTAAATCGTGACATGTAACACAGTGCATATTTTATGTCCGTAGTGTTATAGCGCTCTTGTTGGACCTATAAATAATTTATATGAGTAAGTTACATGTACGTGGGTTTGCAACACCAATAGACCAGTTCGTAGTTAGCATATGGTTTACATAACCCCACATATCCACAGATCTATTAAACATAGATAAATCCCGCTGTGTGCCTTTTGGAATAATCAGAGCTAAAGTCATGGAGGTGATTCTCTATTTGCCCTCTTGAAAGGATTACTTCCACCGTGTTCAATACAATGTATCACAGGTATATGCATTAAGTTTCGTGCTCATGTATCCAATAATAGTCTCAGTGAGTTTCTAACAGTTTTGTACAAGTGACCTTTATCTGCGCATGCGCAGATTGTATCTACAACCTAGAATATTATCCCAGTTTTCATCAAAGGCGTACGCGTACGCCATTTTGTATGATGTCATTATTAGGTAATCAAGAGGTCTGGTGACCTATATAGTTTTGAAACTGATTTAAAAATGGCCATAATTCAAAATCGACAAAAATCAAGATGTTGGCCTATCACGTCGGTTTGTGAAATCCGCGTCGAAATCTTAAATACACGGTTTAATTTCATTGAGAGTCGAGTACAAAACAAGAATCAGAAATATAATACAATATCAACAGAAAGAAAGAAAAGTTTAACGTTGCAGAAATGTAAGCTTGTAAATTGTGGAATGCCATGGCATAAAATTAAATTGATTCAATTCATATTTCAGAAGGCAAACAGGATAAGGGGAACACACAAGGAAGGACAAGACGCGTTGCCAATTTGAACACGAAAACTAGTTCATTCAGTTTAATAATAATAATAATAGGCATTTCTATAGCGCCAACTATCTAGATAATTCTGTTCCGAGGCACATTTATTATTACCCCGGCTATAGCCTAGCAGCCGTTTATACAGCGCTCCAGCATTTTAAGGAATTAATTCCCGCCAGGTACCCATTTACCTCACCTGGGTTGAGTGTGGCAAATGTCGATCAATGTCTTGCCAAAGGACATTAGTGCCGCGGCGGGACTCGAACCGCGGACCTTGCGATCGACAGTCCAGCGACGTATCCACTCGACCACGACACCTCTACACGTTTGATAGAGACAATCTCATTTTCTCTGATTGGGTGAAGATATACCATTACAGTCAAACTGAAATCATAGTAGAGCGTCAGCCTAAACAGATCATGGGAGCATGGTTCAAATTCCATCCACGGCTGAAGAAAAAAAAAAATCACATTCCTCAACCCTGACTACTCTGTCTTTTTCCATGCTTCCCATGGGTTGTAGTTGAGATGCACCCAAGCGAACGGATTTGAAACAGAATCTTGTTTTGCTACTGTCACTTTCTTTGGATCAGGGATTGGAACGCATGTTTACCGATTCCGGACGGGTAACCTTTGTAGAAATCATGTTAAAGAAAATCCGCAATTATGCATATTAAAACGACCACAACGGCTTTCAAATTAAAATATGATAATTCCAATGAGAATCATAATAATAAAGCGCTATAAAATCATCATCATGATCACTTGAATGATAAAAAAAAAGATATTGATGACCGTAGTACACATCGCTTGTTAACAAGCTAGTTATTCTTTTGATACATGATATCAAAGGTATATTCATAGTCGATTCTTTATTTTTATTCTCACCTCAATTTTTATTAACGCTCAACTTGCAATTTGCAGGGACAAATAAACGTCTTCAAAAGCTAGGGCATATGCAGAAATCAATTTGTTTTCTGTGTGCGGGATGTGTGGGTGGCTTGGGTGGGGTTTGGAAGAAACTGATTCCCATCAGAAGGAAAGCCTCTGGGGGTGATAAAGTATGTGAAGGTCTCAAATAAATATATTGTTTAAACAATAGTAAGAACAATTTATTTTCCATGATCAGTAACAATCTTTCTATTGCTGAAATATCTTCCTATTCCGCAAAAAAAGGGAATTTATTTCGAAAGCTGGCAGAGCCATTATGTCACACACTGTTAATACAGAGTGGATAATCTGTGAGAATATCATTTAGAAGTTCACCGGTTTTACGAGGCAATGATCGTAATAGTAGCCCCCCCCCCCCCCGTGACGTTTTTCAGAGGGCCGATCCGCTCTAATGGCAAGCCCCCACAAACTATCGCCATGAAATACAACCCGAAAATGACCATAAACAAGTGAAGCGTGTGTGATATATCTATGCTTCTCTCCAAAGGCTGGTACGAAAGGGTAGTCATTCGTGTTTTAATTTTGCACGAGGGACGTAAAGGTGCACATGGTCGTCTGACGTTACATGGTATGAAACACGGTTCAAGCACGGACCGAGGAAGGGGAATTGTTTGGGGAAAACAAGACACGGGATCATAAAAATAAAGTGTCTTGTCATTGTGCTGTGGGAATTGCTTCTTGTATAGTTAGTATACCTATTAACACGCAAATTGTAACGCCACAAATACGCGGGGGATGAATCTAACTGACAGTTTTGCCAATGGCATTGCCTTCTCGATTATCATTATCATCGTTAGTTCTGAATGTTAGAGCGTAAATCACTCGGAATCTCCTCATCGCGGCGATACATTTGTTACTATTATAATTTAAATTTGGAATTAATGTAAATTTGAACACATTTTACATGGCTTTAACATACAGAAATGTGTGAATGGTCCACGGCTCATCACGTGATAATGATTGCGAGGATCGCAATGTGCATATTTCATTCCCGGTAATGTTCGATGGTTAAATTGACCAAAAAGTCTTTCGTTATCATTGATTGTTATGTAACACAGTGTATGAAGGCTACATAATATAACAAATAAATATATGTACTGGTAGGGTGTATAATAATTTTGTTAAATTCCTTACCTCTGAAGGGGTGATATTAATGATCACGAGTGGAAAAAAAACTCCCCTGTGGTTCGAATAATGTTATACTACACAACCTATAATACAGGTCCATATCCTTATAACCTATATTTCTTAATTGCAATATTGACACCGGCTAACCTCAGAAAACTTAATGTGAGCAAATAAATGATGGTAAGGTAACTTTTTGTTAGGTCAGCCATTGACATAATTTTTTTTTGGTTAATAAAAAAAAAAAAAAAAAAAAAGGGGGGGGGGGTTTGCTCAAATATACACACATAATACACACATAAAACAATTGTAAGGGGGGGGGTTTAACCCCCTCCCCCCCCCCTGTGTACGCGGCTGCTACTACTACTACTACCGATAAAAATATTAATGATGCGGCTTCCACTACTTTTACTTCTTCTACGTCCCAAGCGACGGTTAATATGGGAGTAATATAAGCATGTCAACTTATGGCAAAAAGGTGTTTGAGGCATTACTTATTACATTCTCTCAGAAGAAAAAAAATCATCATATCGAAAAGTGTAGAGGACACATTCGAAAAGACATAGTGTACTATTAAAATTATTGGCAGTTTTCGTTAAAATATATTTTTGTTTTGCTTGTGCTCCCCCCTCCATCCCATCTGACGAGAATGTAAGCTTTATCAGGATTGCTGTCTTTCATTTCCAATAAATCTGCTCCGTTTTACCTTTCCGTGCTCAGGCAATCATCGGGTAAATCCTTGTGGAAAAGGGACTTTATATAGGCCTCACGGCGTTGCATAATGTATACAAAAGTTGGTATTCCTCTCCTTTGTGTAATCACTAAGTGTCGTGCTGAAAGAATTTATTAATTTTAAAGGGGGACAACGGGAAATTCATAACATGTGGGTCTGTGAAGATCATATTATTTTCAATCGGTGCGGTGTCTCGATGAAATCCTTTATGGATGAAATTGTTGTGAGTAGTTACTTCACTATTCAGCATCTAAGATTTAACTGTCAACCTATTAAATTTACATCTGAAAAAGCAGTATAGTGTGTTTTTTTAATGAAATTGAACCATATGCAATGTTAATTCATAAAATCTAATAGTAATACATCTTATAATTCTACCGAGCTTGGTCTATGGTTTAGGTGATTATAGATGTTTGTGAAAAGATTGAATAGATCACTTAAATATCAAATGTCAATATCATTCACGCGACCAGTTACATTAAATCAACTCATATTTAAAGTATGTCCGTGTTATGTAAACAAATAATTGCAACTTTGCAGTCAATAACCCAATATCAGGACGTATAAAAAAAAAACATATCTTTGTTTTACTCTGTGAAACTGGTTCAAGAATTAAAGCAATATTGGTCAAATGACCACATGACCTGGCATCATTCTTTCTTACCACGCCTACCGTGTACACAATTTTCCTATCAAAAAGTGATAACTCACGGCTAAAAGTGATAATGCACGGTTTAGATGCGAGTTTGCGTATCTCTAGCAAATTTATCACTCAAAATACTCAAAAAATACTTCATTATCATCATTATTATTCTTTTAGTATAATAATGATCAGTATTGTTTATCAATTTCGCCATAGATTGTTGACCTATCAAGTGCACTCTCCACTTCAAAGCGCCCTCTCCGGTTCGTCAATGAAGAATATTGGCACTCCATGTTTGAGTTGCAAGAAACAATGGGCATTGTTTACGTCACAAACAGAACTGCATTGAGGCTCATTGCACCACGCAATGTTACCTTGTATGTGGAGTGCGGATCTCTTGGAGATGTTCTTAATGCCGGAATCATCATCAATTTAACGATTACCATTGAAAAGACAGGTAAACAATCCCCGATTGTTTTGTATTAATAAAATGATTTGTGGTTGATGATTATATTTTCCTCTCCTCATCCTCTGCTTCTTTTCTTCCTCTTCCTTCTTCTCCTTCCTCTGTTCTTCTCCTCCTTGTATTCATCTAATTCTGCTCATCCTATTTTTACGTATTTGTAATTTTGCGACGAGCATGTAAAAGATGATGGTGTAAAACGTTTAATGAAAGTAAAGAAAAATTTGCTCTAAAAAAGAAGGTTAAGTATTGAAGAAAAACAATCTACATTCAAGTGATTCAGCATTAAGTTGGAGGGAATATTTACATGCAGATTTGCTGCTAGTAAATTTTCCAGCATCATAATATTCCAATGATAATTCCCTCAGTTAATAGTATCTTGATAATAAACTGTTATTCTAGTCTTAGATCGAATCATTCCAGGATACATGTACATCCATTGTAAAAAAATATTGTACCGGCGAATTATATTCATATCAGGTGTTGGGTAATTATCGAGATTAGTTTCATATCTAAGGAAGATAGATAATTATTTCAATACATTGCTTTTATTAAAGTTGGTAGGATTGCGATTGTTGTGTTTGACCGGACGGAAAAACCCACTCGTGTTATATAATTATATAATTGCACTGCTCTTACGTGACTTATGAACTGTATTAGAGTTGCCTGCATATTGATTTTCCTGTTTTTTTCTCTCTATCTCTAATTTCAGATTTGCAAACTTGTAGGGTAGGTAAGTAAGTCTTGTTTTTAACAATTATGATATTGGGAGACATTTAAAAGTATGGTTTTCAATAACCCCAAAAAACAAAAAAACAATAATAATAATAACCGTTCTCGAGAGATTTAACCACTTGGCTGGATATGCAAAGGCCGTGGGTTCGATCCCCGGCTCGGCACTAGTGACCTTCGGGAAGACCTTAATATTTATTTGCCACTCCATAACTAGGAGAGAAATAGGGACCTGGGGGTGTTTCACGAAGACTAAGATCCAGTTTAAGTTGGACTTAACTGTGGCAGGCCGTTCATTATCAAGAAATGTTAATTCTGTAGACTTGGGACCATGATTTGTACGTCCCTTGGGAGGCCAATGCCAGTATGGTGAGAGCAAACAGTGGCATGAACGGCCTGCCATAGTTAAGTCCAACTTAAAGTCGTTCTTAGTCTTTGTGAAACAGCCCCTGGTAGAATGACATAAGCTTTGTGATATTAATGATTGCCTCATGCCCTCACGGTCACCATAATAATAAGAATACTTCACAGGGAGTGGAAACGTACACTCTGTGCGTAAATGAATCTGATGACCGGGATTATATTCATATCTGTAAAGCGCTTAGAGACGGTATTCTGTATCAATAATACAAATATAAATCCAGATGTATTATTATCTTTCAAAAATTTGACCCCCATAGACATATCATTAATCCCATGATGTTAAGCATGGGTTGTTGTGTATTGTGCGATATATGCCCATATGAAGGGGTGTATACATGTATATTGATGTATTGGGGAATATAGGTAAAGAATTGTTCCCTTTTTAAATATATTTTCATGTAATTTGGGAAACATAATCCAGACTGCATAAATATGCAACTAACAATATTAGAATTCGGTCACATGCTAATAATGCTTACCAAATTGTATTTCTTTCTTATTTCTAATGAGAAAAAAAAATCTAGCATTGGGGCCCGTTTCATAAAACTTTCTATCACAAATTTTGCCCTCAGCCAATCAGATGCCATGATTTCAGTAGCTTATAACAGTAGCTTGTAACGTGTTATTGATATCAAATTTTATGAAACAGGGCCTAACAGTCGTTTTTTGTTCAAAGCAATGATGTGTTTCGATATTTTCTAATGCTGTTATGTGGCCATGGTCACAAAGGCGACAGTTGCTCCCGTCATCGTAACCGAGCCGACTGCTTGACCCACTGCGGTATGGGGTCAATGCATGGTCACTGCTCCTGGAGGGGTGGTGGGATGCAGCGGGCCATGTCCACTCTGTATGCCACCTGTACGCCCGATGTGAAGACCTGTCCGGATAATAGATGCGATCTTGTCGAGATGGAGAATAGGAATGACATCTGCCCTCAAGACTGCACCAGTGAGTATTGGGCTGTTGGATGAGACCACAACTAATCACTTTTTGTTTTGTTTGTGGAAATGATGCGTCTTGCATTTGTAGGGAAAGGAAGTCCATGCGATGGATTTTTATCCCTGTGGGTATTTATATACAAATACGGGTCTAAGAATGCATCATAGAGGCGATGCAAATTGTAGATTATACCATTAAAGGGAAATAATGCGCATTAAAATGTATTTTCACTACATTATTGCATAGCAAAAACTTAACTTGGTTATCTTTGTTATCATCTTGAAATAACTGCAGGGGGATTCTTGTTTATATTAAAATTCTTATTTTTCGCAAATATTGTAAAATGATTGATATTTTCATAATATTTCAAATTGACCCCATGTAACAATATATATTTTCAAACGATCTACATTCGATGAGACAGAGCGTAGAAAATCATTAAAAGACAATGCAGATTGGTATGGGATTATGAGGATAATTGTTTTCATGTGCGTTTTGTTCCAATTTAACCTTTTACATTCCTATGTATTTCCCTAACCAAGAAACAATTACTAACGTGTCTAAAGTAAACACATTAAAGAAACCATGCCAATTCAATTTCAGCACGTCCGGACGGTTTCCAACGACCAATAAACAAGAGCTTACCAGGTATTCAAGTAGCCATCGGTCCGTGTTGGTGCTACGCAGGGGGAGGCTGCATGTGCATGGGAGCCGACACAAGGCCACCTCCTATTGGCAAGCCAGCGGGACCTACACTTCCAATCATCAGGTTTCCATGTAAGATCATATACCAGGGAACTGTTTCACAAAGCATTTTTTCAATGACAAATGACAAAAATCAGTGACAAATCTGCTGATAACCAATCAGACGCAAGAATTTCAGTAGCTTATAACAAAGACATTTGTTATTTGTCACTAATGACAAGCTTTGTAAAACGGTTCCCAGTTTATCTGTGATGACGTCATTATTATACTAGGGTAACTTCCAGCAGCGAGTGTGTGATCAATACTCTAGTGAGAGTTTTATAAAAGGAGCAAGATAGCCGGCCATATAACTGCAGGGTGATTCGTTGCCATTCAGATGGAGCTGACAATTCTACTTTATTAAAGGCATAATTAATATTGGTTTTTTAATACAAAAAAGTGAAAGGTTTAAATATTCTAAAAAAGAATGAAACCCCGATAATACCGACCAACAACTACTTTTCAATGTTCGTCAAACCAACAATGTCGGTCTCGTAGGCCTACTAGCAAGCTTCGAGAGCGGCCATTATACTGACAGCCTACGGGACCGAACTTTTTCTGACTTCCCTTCTTTGTTTGTTCAAGTGTTCAAAATAGAAGGGAAAAACTCTATTCTGAGTATAAAATTAATACATTTATTTAATTTATTCAGCAATTACTACTACGAAGGAGCCAGTTCCATTGCAGGAGGATCCAGGGGACGAGCTCTGCGGACCAGAGTGCTACCTTGGGGTCTGTGCAGGGGTGTTCCTCACCGCTCTCATCACGATCATTTTGGCGGTGCGCAAGAGACGGGCGAGGCGCCACCAACGTCGGGCCTACACTTCCAGCATCTTCAAGCCTCCCATCGACGCCCCAAACACGACTCGTGCAAGCATGGTGCTGGCAGAATATGCGGATGAAATGACGTCAGGAAGGTCGTTTGGATTCAAAGGCCGATTCGAAGTACGTATGTAGAGTTAAATGGTGTTTCATTTATATATTTAGGAAATATCACTAGCAAATGCCGGTGACAATAGGATAAATCAATGTGTAGTAGAAAACGAATACATTTAAAATGTTTAAATTACGAATAACAAGCACGAGGTACGGCACTTAATTTGAACTATTTGTGTCGAATTGAAAACCAGGAGCTATTACCTACATAAGGGAATACGATGTAAATATGAAAAATTGCAGGTATTCAGTAAACAACTGCATCGCTATTATTATAGAATTTGGCGTCACCTGCGTCTGTTGAAGGAAAAAGTGAACTGAATAACTGTGTTGATCTTTCGGGTCACTCCCGAGATAATTGACTGGGTCGTGCAGTTGGACCACTACACCAATATTTTCCCTTTAATATTGGACACGATTAGTGCAGTGGGTTATTAACGTGCAGAGGTGGTGACTCTATTTTACACGGGGCCTCGAGTCAAAATCTTCTTAGAAGAACGGAGTGTTTTCCACTATAACCCACTCCGCGTGTATAACACAGGAGAGGGGTACGTTAACAAACAACACAGGTATCAGTCATTCACCTGCTTCTGATTCGAACCCACGATCTTTGGTTCCACAGTCAGACGCTTTATTGACTGAGATTGCCTCCTCATGATATATATTTTTTTGTTCTCAAAATGTCTTTAATTCACACTCATTCTTGTTCTAAAGTTCTCGTGTTTAATTATATGTTTGTGATTGCAGCAGGACTCCAAATGGGAGTTTCCTTTAGACAAGCTGTTGTTCGAGGATGAGCTTGGCGAGGGTCACTTCGGTCGAGTTGTCCGAGCTCAAGCCCTCAGTATACGAGGACATACGGGTTACACTACGGTGGCTGTGAAGATGCTAAAAAGTAAGACAATTCTTTGAACAAAATAATACTCTCAAGAAATCAAAGGGGAAATCCAACCTAATATTTATTTAGGTTTCATAAGATGACAAAATCCATTAATCTTAACAATCAGAGTAAAATGCAGACAAATATATATTTTAGATCAATACTAAAGCGATTGCATTTGTATGAAGTGAAGGCCTTGAGCATCACTATCCGAAAATCCACATAAAGGCCAACATTATCATATGACTCTTCTCGTAAACTACATGGAAAAAAGAGAAAAATATAGCTTGAACCCTAAATAAATTGTTGTTTATATGTGCTCTATAATATTACTACCATTCGTTTTCCACAAGGTTAAAACAAGTATACTAACAATTAATACATTCATTTCATTCATTCATACAATCCTCACCTGTATCTCTACCCCCCCCCCCCCGCCCCCATCCCCTCCCTACCCAGTGAATTTTAGTGAAAATATAATTGTCTGAATTAGTCAAGGCAACTACTCTAGGTGGTTTATTTAGTAATCGGCAATGATTATTTCCACGTAGTTTTAGAGCAGAAACTGATTTTCTTAACAGAATATCACTTTGACTGTGGTATTTTTTCATGCTTCTGCTGTCACTATGACATTTACAGGAGATACTGCCACCTCCGCTGAGCTACATGACTTGCTTACAGAGCTCGAGCTGCTGAAACTACTCAACCATACAAATGTTATTCGACTTCTTGGTGCCTGCATTCCAAAAGGTTAGTTTATTGTTTAATTACTTTAAATACCTTTATTTTGTCTGGTCCCCCATCTTGTATGAAGTTTGATTCCAAATGAATCCTAACTCCTTTTAAAGACATAAGCGTAGTTTATTGATTTGAATTCGTTAAAAATACGACTTCTAACGTTCGCATTTATCTCTATGAATGCATCATAATTATGCCAGGAAATGAACTATCTAGGACCGGTGCTGACCACTTGAAACGTAATCTTGTAAATAAAATACTTTCAAAAATACTTAACCGATTCTAAAAGGAGCTCTTACCTATATTCCTTATTTGCATAACATACCTGAATGAAGCGGGATTATGATAGAATGTTCTTAATAATGATCTACATAATAGTACTCATTATAATTTCTCCATGATTTTGGGTTTATATGCCCTCCCACCAATCAATATTCAGTGGCCCTTCTGACAGAAGCATATTGATATTGGCTAATAAAATGCAGACAGAGAATTGTGCAATACACATGATTGTTCTATGGCTGAAATTTTTCAATGGAACGATTCAATCGTTTTGTACAAAGTCAAGAATACTCAATCGTATTATGCTCATATGAAGTTATATTAAAATTATCGTTTTCTTTTTACGGAAGACCCTTTCGAGACGTGTGTGATAGTCGAGTACTGCAAATATGGATGCCTTCGGGAGTTTCTCAGGCTAAACAGGAAGAAGGCGCTGTACACTGAATACTCCATATCAAACGAATCGTCCAGTATTCCCGGACTTTCCCGGGGAAAAGATGTCATAAAGCGCTTTGACATCGGATTCAAAGAAATCGCTTCATTCGCCTGGCAAATATGCAAAGGGATGCATTATATATCATCTCTGAAGGTAAGCTTAGAATAAGAAATGGACCTCTGTGAAGGTAAGAATTTCGTATCGTACAAGCGCTCCATGACGACCCATTGTCTAAAGAGAACAAAAGGTCCAAATTGTCCTTGTTCTTTACTTACTGGACTGGACATTATTTCTCCATGCTCTTTCACACTCGTTTCCTGAAGTCAAATGACTTGTTTAGTCCTTCCTGATTCATCATCCTGCATGCATTGATAAAGACTCGGCAGCATTTCTTTTTAAATCGTAATGTACTGTAGGCAACACTTATACCTCGAGACTTATACCTAACCTACTTTTGAATATTGGTGTTGAAGCTACATTTCATTATACAAACATGATGTATCCTTAAAGTAGAGGTGTAATGATTATTGATGTCATTTGATTCGTTGCATAAGGAAAGGTTAGGATAAATCAAGGCTATCAAAATTCCTCGCTTGGAAATATTCAAAGTAACGATGAATGTCAATTTTAAAACGATAAAATACCACACCACGTTCGCATTCGAAGTGCTCTCCGAACACGGCAGGATGTGTGACTTTACTCAAAGGACCAAATTAGCATAAGCAAACACGTTCCATACACACTTTGTTAGAATAGGTTTCATCGTTATTCTGTTTACATATTTTTCTTATTTCACCAGAATCTGTTTGATTTGCTGCTTCACTGTAGATTGGGAACAATGTATTATTTTGATGTAAAAATACAGCGTTATAAAAAACTAAATAAATAAAGGAATGAGTTATAGCTTCATTATGGCGTATAAGAAAACGTCATCTGTAGTCGCCCTGGAGTCCTGAAATCGCCCGCACGTCGGGCGGGCATCGGGCGGGCATCGACAGACCTTATGAACATTGAATGAAACTCGGACGGCGCCCGACCTTACGTTGGGCGAGCTTCGCCCGACCCCCGTTTGTTTACTGACGGGCATCGGGGGATCTCTAATAACTTTTACACCCAATATGTGACAGGGTAGATTACAAACGAAAAATACGCTCAATTTTCCTGGTGGCTTTTAAATCCGGCGAATTTTCTGCAAACCACAAATTCAGCGGAAGACCGTTCGAATTTAAGGCATTAACGATTAACCTGCCATACACAATATCAAACAAAAATTAATAGGCATTAACTTTAAAGGTACCATGTCCCATTTGCAGGCCCCAAAAATGAAAAAGGTTAAATTCCAACGGCATTTGAAAGACAATACTAATTTAAAGCTTTCCTAAAAAAAAAAAAAGGGGGGGGGGGGCTTGAAAATGTCTTTAAGTGGGAAAATAACGACTATTAGTTGTCGAATCGACTTAGGAGCTATAGAGCAAGTAAGTAATAGTCTGATTTTTTTCAGACCATTGTACCGAATGGTCGTACGTTTTATGCTGCGCAAAGATTCACTCAGTTTAATTTTTGCCATTACAAGAAGTGGGTTATTGATGTAGACAATGCTCATGTACCTTTTACAGCTCAGTTTATGTATGTTAAGACCAAAGATGAAAAAGGCCAGTCAGACACTCAGTAGTGTCTGCCAGTGAAGTCTAGCAAGTAAACCGGTTTCCTTGCATAATTTGAATATCAGGACACTGCTAACGTTTAAATTTCACAGATATAGGACATACATGACATATTCATAATTCCTGCAAAGTTCTACATAATTTGATGTTGCCTGCAAAAGGGACATATTATCTTTAAAAACAGTGAATATAGAACCCTCATCGTTCAATAAGAGGCAGTGTTTACAAAAAGGCATCCGGCAACTTAAGCTGTTGTTAATATATAAAGTTTGGATTGTTCATTTCAAATAGTTGCTATTTGAAAGGTAACACTACTTTCAAAAATGATTAAGCCACAACATACCCTTTTATCACAAAAATATTAACAGCATGCTGAATTTATACATGCCTATTGGACAGACTGCCTCGCAATGAACAACCAGGGTTATATATATATAACCATTGAGCTTTATTTACCATTTTCGAAGTATATGCTTGTTAGCGGTTTTCAAAAGCTGTGTCTCATCGTTATCAATGAAAATGAAAAGGCAAATACAATGTTTTAAAAAGCAATATAATGATTGATTTTTACAGGTTGTTCATCGCGATTTAGCAGCTCGTAACGTACTCGTAGCCGAGGGTCTTCTGTTGAAAATCTCCGACTTTGGTCTCACTCGTGATGTTTATGAAAGGGGTCTGTACGAGAGGCAAAGCAAGGTAAATATTGTGATTTTAATTGGTTAAGCAAAATCACATTTTAAAAGCATAAGAAAGGTTTGACATTGAGAGGAAATATACAAAGTAAGATGATGACCTCGTATTGACCTAATAAAAGCTTACATTTACATAAACGACGGAACAATTTATTTGCTTTAAAAATTCTATAGATTCAGTTTATTATTCATTATCCCTTGTTACCGGATTATTGTTATTTTCTTAAGCCAATATATTCTACTGTAATACCCCGTAAAATAAACTTGTTTTAATTGACGACATCTAATGCTAATATGCTATTCAGTTCAGTGTCTGGGAAAGTTGAAATTCTCCTTTGAAAAAAATCACCATCTACTACTCCATGATCCGTCGTTCCTTAACAAGGGTTGTTTCCTAAATCCTCAATCTCTACTCTTATATATGTTCCCTGTTTGTGCCGCTGACATATTCAGATCCCACATACTTTGTTTAATGTTGTCCTTCTTCCAACAGGTTTGTTGCCTTCCTTGTCATCTGCTTCATTGTATCACAATGTCATTTCCTGATTTTCCTTCATCAGCCATCTCCAAGTGTCCAACCCATATCGATTTCATGTCGATCCCTAACCTTCTCCAGGATGATTGCTCCTTTTTTTCTATGTTCTTCTCCTGTAACCCATGGTGTCCTTCGTTACTTCCTCATGTCAGACAACCTCTGCCGCCTATCGTCTTTCCACGCCAATTGGTGTCCGCTGACGCGCGTCGCTTAATTCCGGGGAACGCCCTATAATGTTTCAGAATCCTACCTACTAGGTTAGTTGCTTCCAGCAGGCGAGTCTCAACGGAGACGTTGAGGGCGAGCTGTGAAGCTTCTTCTCTTTTCTTGTATTCTGTATTTTGCTTTACTCACCCTCCTCCCTCTGAGAGAGTGAGGGAGTCGGTTATACCACCGATCACACCAGGGGGGGGGGGGGGTCGTTTCACACAACTTGTCATCAGTGACAAATGACAGTTTTTGTTATAAGCTACTGAAATCCTTGCTTCTGATTGGTTATCAGCAGATTTGTCACGGACTTTTGTAATTTGTCATTGAAAAAAGGCTTTGTGAAACGGGTTCCTGACCTAACCCGGCCTGACCTGACCTCATTACACCATTGCATTGATTAAATGTAAAATATAACCATCGTATTCTCTTTTAATTTTTTTCCCATCTCAGTCATTACTTCCAGTAAAATGGATGGCTGTGGAAGCCCTCTACGATAACGTATTTACAGTGAAAAGTGATGTGTAAGTATAATCACTTTAACGGTGAACATTTTAGTCATGTACCAGAATTCCATGCTAATCTTTACCTTAAATTCTTTAACTGATTACATGTGCCACAAATAAACCATTTAAACAAAACTGAACCACACGTGCTTCCTGGCATAGTGATTAAAGACCCTAACAAAATTCTGCCTCTGTACTTAAAAATGATTATACAAATTTTCAAACCAATTTTAGAATTCGTGCATAATTTTACTCAATCCCCCTCTCTCTTTCTCTCTCCCACTCTGCCATCCAAACACAAACTTTCCCATTTTCATTTTCTCCCTCTCTTTCTTTCTCTACTTTTCTTTCTCTCTTCCGATCTGTGGATGGCTCGTTTAATATTTAAGTGTATTATCATTTCCTTTCCTCTACAATTATTGATTTTTCAGATGGTCGTTCGGTATCTTATTATGGGAGATCGTAACGATGGGTAAGTACATACCCCAATGTTTTAGAAATATCAGTCTAACGTTCTATCAATAAAAAACAAATATTTTCACAGCGTGACGATTTATTTTTAATTCATTTTGTTTTAAGTAGATCTATACCCTTAAGCTTGCCTTCATTTGTTTGTTGTTCGCTGCCAAAGCTTTTCTTGTTTTTAAAGATTTTCTGTGTGTGTTTAAAAAAAAAAAAATCTATATGAATATCGTTGTTGAACATTATATAATTATTCAACTGTATTTCTTCCATGCCCCAGAAGGGGCCGTTAAAGAAATAAAAAATCATTGTCATTGTCATTGTCATTGTCATTATCATTGTCACGATTAACTTTTTGTTTGTTCGATCAATCAAGTCAGCAATATATCATTTATGGACGATTCTTTCCTTAGTCACAAAGTTGTCCCCTACAAGATTATGCTTGATAAAGCTTCCGCCTCATAATGCACCATGAGTCAACATGTCATCAGCTACAAGTAACACAACAGTAATGGCATACCGATAAAATGTTACTTTCCTTTAATTTTCTCATCATAATCCTTCCCATTTTTACGAGCACATAAATTGGTATATTTGTTTAAACAAATGCGGGAAATCACTATTGGCAATGATTGTTCATTCGTTTTCTCCATTTTTTGAACAGGGGCCATTCCATACCCTGGTGTTACTGCAGAGAGACTGTGCCAACTACTACGGGACGGCTACAGGATGGATAGACCAGAAGAGTGCAGTGAAGAATTGTTCGTACCTCAATCCGTAATAAATATTTCCCACGTTCACAATGTATCATCTGGTTAGATAGCAAATATGACATAAACATTGTAGCAAGAAACGGGTTATCATAACTTATTCAATTATCAAATGAGTGATTGTTACCCGTTTATTACTGAAGCTGAATTTTCCACTATAAAACACTAACTACCAAAATAAAAAAACAGTAATGAGTGTTCCTTTTTATAGAAAGCCTTTTAGAATGAGCGTAAATATTTTGGGGAATTGTTGGTTTTTTGTGTACATCGAAAAAAAAATTGTCATAATGTAGTGAATATCATAAAAACGAGGTACGAGGGCGAATTCAAAATATTTGGCCATTTATTTTCCTATTCTTTAGCGAATAACGAATTCATGAAAAATACATATTGACTTCAATTGTTTTATTACACTTCGTGTCTGATTTTTTATAGACAAATAATTTTGTCTTATTTTTGCTAAACTAATGGTCATAAAGATTTGGTTAAATAGTGGATTTGTCAATCAATACATTATAAATGATATTGAGATGAAACAAAAACTATTTAATGAGTCTTTATATCAATTATTGTCTGTTCCTCTTTGGTCTACCTCCCCCTCTCTCCCTCTCTCTCTCTCTCTCTGCATCCTTGTCTACCCATCTCTCTCCCTCCTTCGTCATCACTCCCTGTTTCCATCTCCGATATAGATATACAATAATGAAGCAATGTTGGTCGGATGATCCACAAGAACGGCCTTCTTTCGAGAAACTCGGTTTGCAGTTCGAGAAAATGCTTGAAGAAACAATGGCAAGTACATTCATTTCCTCCAGAGGAATGCTATATATAATCAAAATTGACACTACCCACTCGTTTAAAATCAGTACGTATAATATTAAGTTAATTTCCTCACAGTAGTAGTAGTAGTAGTAGTGGTAGTAGTAGTGGTAGTAGTAGTAGTAGTAGTAGTGTATGCCCGGAGTATGTGAAAAAGAAGTAAACTCAACACATTAGTTTATACGCCTTTTATCTATTATCTATTATCATGATTATCCGCAAAAATAATTTTCTCTTATTATCGAATGAATATTCTTACCCGTATCTGGAACAGGAATACCTTGATCTGTCGGACATCAATGGTGATCTTTCTTCAGACGAAGAGAACGAGGAAGTGGTTGAGTGCCACAAGGAGCAGTGCTGTCTCCTTAGGAAAAACAGAGATGGTGAGAAGAGCTGTGACCCCCGAGGGATTTCACACACTGCTTCTTTCTGGTACATAGTGTCTGTACTGTAGAGCATGGGGTGGGGAGGAGGGAAGGGGGGGGGGGGGTAACCCATCGCCGCAGCTGTGTGAATGCCGTGTGATTTAAGGATTTAATGACTTTTAATGATTTATTATTATTATTATTATTATTTAATGCAGCGTTTGAAAAATAATGAAGGAAATCAGATGTAGCTTCACTATGGCTTGTAACGAAGACACCATTGTACATTTAGATGCATTTATGCATTTCATCAAAATAAAAACATGTCCGAAATGTAGAGTGAGGCAACAAATCAAACAGTTAGAATAACACTGGTGAATTAAGGGAAAAGAGGAGACGACGCGACCAACACTAAAACGTGTGCATTGCTATGGAACATCGTCTGCTTATATTAATTTGGTCATTTGCGTGACGTCACGAATCTCGGCAGTGTTCAGAAAGCTCTTCAAGTGCGAAAGTGGGGCCGTATATTACCGCTTTAATATTGATAATGATCGTTACTTTGAATGTTTCCGAACGGAAAATTTCTATAACCTTCTTCGATTTAACCTACCCTTTAATATGCAATGGCACAAATTAAATCAATATTAAATCAATGACTGTCTACTTAAGGGAATTGTATCCGTGGAGTGTTCATTTTTAGCTAGTTACAAAGCAAAATATTGTATATAAACCCCCCCCCCCCCCCCCCAAAAAAAAAAAAAAAACAAAACAAAAAAAAAAAAAAAAAAATTTTAACAAAAGTGATATAATATAATTTGTTATGTTTGTTTCGTTGATTTGTGTTCAAAGACGCATTAAGGAAAATTATCAGAAGTTTAACTGTCAGGGGTAAAATGTCAGAGTTTGAAATATCAGCTCTATACAATCAATGAACACGATTGCCTTTTTGTTTTACCTTTACTCTTCCTAGATCAACTTATTCAGCTGTATGAATGCCAAATGCCTGCAACAGAAACAAAGGCCGACCAAATACCCTCTACGTGACAACCTGGGGCTCTACTTTTTTCGCATAATGTATTGGATTAATCTGGTTTGAACTGCCGACTTAAGAGATAATACCACTTTCAACGGAATATTGGATCATTTATGAGTTAAATTAGATCGTTTATACCTCGCATTAAGGATGTCTATTGGAATATCAATAATGCCTACAGAACTTTGTTACCTCGGGGAAATGCCTAAGCACAGAGCAAGCAGGCTCTGGGCATGCCCAGGACCTCCAGCGCTAGCAAATATTGAGACTGCCTGAGAGTTTCGAGCTTACCGCACAACGGATCTTGGGAATCGTAAGACACTGCTTATTAAGAATAAAAGAGTGATCTAGATAAGTGAGTAGAAACTTTTGGTGTGCAACTAACAAAAACCACACGGAGCAGAGAATAGGTTGGATCGATTTTCGAGAAAGAACAACATCACAATGATTGGACTGCTACAAACAACGAATGAATCTCCACCAACAAGAGTTACCGAGCTGTTACCGCTACACTTCAACAAAACCCTACCAATGGAGAAAGCCCACCGAGACGGGAGAGCCAATGACAGGACGCCGAGACAAATGCTTGTGAAACTTCCGTCGTATCAAGACAAGCACACTATCATTTTAAAGCAACGCGATAAGCTGAAGGTGTACCATTTTACATCGCAGAAACTCATAATAGAAAATAAAATGGTCCCAAGCAGCGTATCGCGATGTAAACCCTCTTCGGCCGGAAAGTGGACATCAGAGGGCGGTCAACTCGCGGCCTTTAATCGCAACATCAACGATTGTATGCCGTCGCCAGCGGGAGAACCCTCTAAGTGAAAGGTAGTCAAACTTAAACCGGAAAGATAGCTTCTTCAAAATGATCTTTTTATATAGGAGATATGGATTTTGACGGGCAGCAGTACGGACACCGCATAATTAACAGCTTTTTTAAGTATTGTCATCTGTGGAAATTTTATTTTATTTTATTTTCGTTTTGTAGCATTCTAATTTGTCATATCTTAACATTGCTATCATATATGTACACAAAAGTGTACAACGACACACGGTTTATTTTCATACTATAGTTATTGCATAGAAAAATTGCTAATCATTCCATGAAAGGAACTTAGTTTATTGTTACATTTTACATTTCGTAGTAACTTGACTTGCTCATCTTGTTCTTCCAAATATCTATATTTACTAATTTCATTTATATGTATCTGCCTTTGTAGGGATGTCTTATCTACATGCGTAACTCTTGTTTATAGTAGTTAAATCAAGACGTAATTATAATTAATTGTTGTGCTCCAGTATCCCGAGCGTTCTGAGCTGTACTTAGTAGTCATTGATAAGTTTATTGATGCTAGTTACAACACCTATTTCATGAATATTTCCCCCATATCTGTCTACTATATTGCATTATGTATAGAACTAAACCGAGTAGGATTCACATCTTCTTTCAACCTTATTCCCCAAGTATGACAAGGACATGTTCATGTACTTAAATAGTAAACTTCTGTACTAATTATAGATGATATCTTATACGAACCAAGTTCCATACATGAATGCCACTATTACCTTGAGAGTTCGATGATGAATTCAAATTTCGTGTTAACTAACGCAGTTTTCACAATGTAAACAAACGAAGCTTAACAAACTAATACCTATTTACTAGAAAGCTTACACAGTCAATTATCCCATTTATTCTCCGTCATTGGTATCACAGAAACATGGCTGCATAAATATTCACTTTCCTTGCTAAAGGTTTGGAATTACTCATTTCTGCATACATACCGGAAAATAAATAGAGAAGGTATGATGCAATCTATATTGACAAATTCTATATAATTTAGATTAAGACATAATGTATACTTATTTCTGAAGAAAATGCAGAATCCTTTATTGAACTAGACATTGGAAATTATAAAACTCATGTTGTTGGCGTTATTCATAGTACACCCAGTTTTGTAATTTTAACGAGAACATTTCCTAAACGAGCGCCACTATTATTCATATGTATATGTCATGATATTTGAATTGTTTTCAAAGTGGAAATAAATTGAATTGAATCGAATTGAATTTCATATCGAAACAGTCTGATTTCCATATTAAGAGCTTCTAATAAAGAACATTTTTCAAAAAACAAAGACAACGCAAAAGGCAATTTGTCATCGACCTGAAAAGTAATCAATGATATATTTCTTTAATATATATACAGTGCGTCCAGAAAAAACGAAACCGAGAAGTATCGATGTTTTATTATAACTTAATCGCAACCATATTTAATGAATGATACATATTTAGAAAGCTTAGAGTCTCCTCTTTCATGTGATGCTACTCAAATAATGCATATTTCACGCATGAGTGATTAAAAGCAATTTGAAGGAAGGAAACCAAAAAGACATTTGGCGGGCGGTATCTGAATTTCGAAGAAAAATTCACATTTCTAGAAAGTTGGGTTTCTGCCCTTTCATATGACACCTCAATCAGGAAAAATGAGCAAGGCATGACAAAGTTCTGTTTGTTTAAAGTAGTGCTTGCATTTCCATAATTTTATTAAACGAATTCGTTTTCACTGGCTGCCTGCCGTATCAATAAACGAAATTAACAAAAGACTTAACTCCGTTTCGTTTACAATCAGCCGTAGACGAGAGCCTTCATGCATGGCTGATTGTCAACGAAACGGAGTTAAGTCTTTTGTCAAATCTGCTTTTTGCTACGGCAGGCACCCAGTGAAAACGAATTCGTTTGTTAAAATTATGAAAATGTAAGGGCTACTTCAAACAAACAGAACTTTGTCATTCATCGCTCATTTTTCCTGATTGAGGTGTCATATGAAAGGGCAGAAACTCAACCTTCTAGAAATGTGAATTTTTCTTCGAAATTTAGATACCGCCCGCCAAATGTCTTTTTGGTTTCCTTCCTTCAAATTGCTTTTAATCACTCATTCGTGAAATATGCATTATCTGAGTAGAATCACATGAATGAGGAGACTCTAAGCTTTCCAAATATGTATCATTCATTAATTATGGTTGCGATTAAGTTATGATAAAACATCGATACTTCTCGGTTTCGTTTTTTCTGGGACGCACTGTATATTGTAATAAAGAACGAACCTATAAAAGTGGTGACATTTGTATAAAAACCCTTTTGAAATTGATAATGCGTTCAACTCTAAGTTAACCAAATGGTCCTGATCAAGCCTCTAAGATACAATGAACTAATGTAACTTACCAACATTATCTGAAACAGCCTTGTAAAAATTTCTTTTAGTTCAATGAAATATTGGAAAACGCAATTTAACACGAGTAAATAAGAAGATCATGAGGAAGGTAGTAACAATATACAGTAGTCAACGAATCATAAACAATGTTTAAACAATGACCCTTATTCCTATGACCCATATCTTTGATATGTCGATATCATCTGCAATATTTCAAAGTAGCGTGAAATTAGCGGAATTTATTTTAATATATAACCAGCAAAAGGCTTCAGTTTTTAGTAATCATCGACCAATATCCCTTTGTCTGTAACAAACTCTAATAATTTGTTTGTATGCATCAATATAGATTCCGTAAAAATAATTCCACGGAAAAGGCTCTCATTGAATTATGTGATAAAATTGCAAATTCCTTATTAAATAAAGAACCATGTTCTTGAA